GTAAGTTAATATGTTAGCCTCGTTAAATAAAGACGTATGTATGTATGTATGCATGTATGTATGTATGCATGTATGTATGTATGCATCCATGTATGTATGTATGTATGCATGCATGTCTGTATGCATGTATTCATGTATGTATCTATGTATGGATGTATGTATGTATGCATGTACGTATGTAGGCATGTATGTATGTATGCATGTATGTATGTATGCATGTTTGTATGTATGTATGTATGCATGCATCTATGTATGTATGCATGTATGTATGCATGTATTTATGCATATATGTATGTATGTATGTATGTATGCATGTATGTAGGTATGCATGCATGTATGCATGCATATATGTATGTATGTTTATATGCATGTATGTATGCATGTATGTATGCATGCAATGTATGCATGCATGTATGCATGTATGCATGCATGTATGCACGAATGCATATATGTATGCACGAATGCATATATGTATGCACGCATGCATGTATGTATGTATGTATGCATGCATGTATGCATGTATGTATGTATGTACGCTGCAAGGGATGCTGTGTGTCTGCTAGGTCAACTGTCAGCTGCACACAACATCAAGATTACCAAAGCTCAGTTCACCTTAATTCGAGATTTCTTAATGGATATCTATTGACAACGCTAACAGGGTAGGGGCTCTCGCGAACATGACAGTCGGATAATACAATAGAATAGCAAAGGAAAATGACTAGTTCGTCGTTATTGTGAAGAATCACAAGACAGTGAGCACCCATGGTCCCGCCAGAAATGTTTTCTACCCGAGATTAAAAAGCTGGATCGAAGTCTTCCTCAAAGAGGTACGTTTGATATTCGCTGCTTCAGACAGTGCGCCAGACAAATGTGTGTTTTTATCGTCCAAAGGGAGTCTGTGGTTTCCAGTTACATCAACAAAGCTACTAAGTCTGTATGGAAAAAGGCCGAAGTCGAGGGCGCGCCAAGCTCAACGTTATTTAAAAAATCCGCAGTGTCAAGAGCACACAGCAATGAAGCAAGAGGAACCTGGCGGATTTGATGGCCCGCAATGTTCTCAGTGCTACGAGATGTTATCGATCGCGAGAAAAATCGAAATCCTCCGTCCTGGCTTCCAAACACTTATATGAAGTCATGGGTGGGGAAGACGAAAGCCCAAGAATTTCCACCGTAGACGAGTGTGAAGCTTCCAAATGTTCCTGGAGCAAAGACCAAGAAACGATAATAATCTGTTTCAAGAGATGATCAAGGGGAAATCCGTGAAAATTAAAACGGTGAGGGAGAAAATAGCTGCAAATGCGCGTGGACCCGAAGAAGATTCACGACAAAGCTCGGGGGATGTCGCGTTTTCCTTCCTTCACACAGTCAGAGCCTGTGAACCTCCCTGACGAACAAGAGAAGACTCTTGAACTGTTACGTGCACGAATGACCAACAAATGTCTGCTAACAAAGTATTATCGCAGAGGTCAGTGGTTCGAATCCCGTACAGGCCTGAAATTTTTTTTTTTCAGGTCTGATTTTCACTATTGCTCAAATAGTGCTTTACTGCGAAGGATCGTGCATATATACGTTTCATAACCGCAGTTCATACATATGTTTCATATGTTTGTTGTTGTTTTATCAGATTTATGCATCTTTCTTTTGTCATTGATGTTATTAGACGAGATCACAGAATTTCTGTTCCTTGGCCCTTGAATTTAGCCGCAAATATAGAATTCACAAGCGCTATCGCAATAGCCCTTATCGCATTTGTATCTGCAATGCAAAGGGTCCGCGGAGTTACAGTTTGAGGACGAGGCTATCGGGTCAACGTTTCTCGAGAAACACCAGAAACTCCATGTCTGACCATATAACTCTGGAATCTGCGTTTTTATCTGCCGAGCAAAAGGTTAAAATTCTTAGTGGTAATTTTCCTGGCATCACGAAAGGAAGATTGAAAGAATGGCTGTCATTTCGAAAAGGAACGGCAAAATTTTGTCGCGTTTGTTTATGACTACGGTTGTTGTTCCTTTGTCGTCCTTTAGAGGTTTAACTCAGAGTCACGTTTCAAGGCCCTTAGCGCCTTGCGTTCGGCCGGAAGCAAATTATCTTTTGGCTTTGTAAGTTCTATTTCTGAAACATCACTTTTAACCTCTTCTAAATAGCTTTCAAGGGCTACTAATTTGTGTACTAGCGGTATCTATGTAGATTTTGACGTGGCAGGGATGGTTTTTTTTGTCCTTCCCTCGGAAGACGCATTCTCCTTGCGAACTGATCAAAGTCACACAATAGTTGTTGCCTGATCTGTTTTTGTTGTGTAGAGGGTGTTGGAATGAATTTAAGCCCTTTTGCCAGTAAATTAATCTGGTCGTTTGTAAGTTCTTTATTTGAGAGGTTTTTTATGTGCGTTTTGTTCGCCCCTAGTTTGATAGTTGAACGTGTTTGGCAAGACCGCGGTTTCGATCCTAATCTTGTGGATCTCGTCAGTTGCCGATTCACTGAATAGACTGTTGTACCCGTACGCAATACAATGTCCAACCATGATGAGAACACGCTGTATCCTTAAGAAAATGAATAAAAATGCCTCCAAACGTAGCCGTTTGCTTCGATTTTACTTGAAAGTTTTACCTATGTGACCCGATAGCCTCGTTTCGAAACTTCAAAGTCCGCTGAGCTCTTGTACAGTAGGCCTAAATGCGATAAGGGCTATTTTAACGTTTGTACGTTTACTATATGAAATCATTTTTGGTACAATCGTACAAAGCAGTATTCTCTCAGGTGTCTCGTTAACACAGACCTCGAAAACGCAGACCGCAGACCGCACACCTCGAAAACGCACACCTCGAAAAACGTGTATACAGTGTGTAATTACCTAGCCTGAGGATCAGGCTCTCTAGGGGAGGGGAGGGGAGAAGGAAAAGGAGAGTCTGACACAAAGCCATATCGGAAGCCGTTCCATCCGTTCAGATTTTGAACGGACTTCTGATTGGCCAATATAACAATAGATGATTTACCGGAGGTAAAAATGTTTTTCTGCATGATCAGACCGCCATCTTGAGATTTCACACTCAGCGAACTTTTTCGTTTAAGAGACCTGATTTTGCCTTGATGTGAATTGTAATGACCTCTGCAGTTAAAGAAGAAGACTTTGAAGTAGCCTTTCAAACTGCATTGCAGTTTTTTCCGGGTATCATTCCGAAGAAAGAGCAGATTGAGTGTATCAAAACTTTAGTTGTCGATCGCCGAGACGTTCTTGGTGTTCTTCCAACAGGATTTGGAAAAAGTTTATTTACCAAACTCTTCCAAAGATTTATTTCAATTTATGGAAAGTAAAACACGGGGAAGAGAAAACCTCCAAGATAATTGTAGTTAACCCGCTCGAGTTGATTCGAAATCAACAAATAAAGAAACTTTGCACACTTGGGATCAAAGCTTTTGTTCTTGAAACGTGCGATAAAAAATCACTTGAAGGTGCAAAAATAAGTTTTGGAAGCACTGAACATTGGATGCTGGAAAAGCAGAAAAACGAGCTTAAAACGGGTGTCTTAAGAAACGTTTCTGTGTTAGTGATCGACGAGGCACACACAGTCGAAACATGGTGAGTTAGTAGAGCTTGTGGCCTTATTAATTTTTGTTAAACTTGTGGCCTTAATGGGTCGCCATTGTAATTTGCAGCAGAAGGTCCTTGACTATAAGTATTAAGTTCTTTACGAATTAATTGAATGAGCTCTTTAACAAGCTCTCGCCGGAACCGTGGAAAACTCAAGGCAGCATTAGCGGCGGCACAATAGTTTCCCTTGAAAACAGTCTTCCTCATACTACTCTCGCTCTTATCCTCACAACTTCTCTCCAAAACTCTCGATGAAGCTGGATAGCCAACGATCTGG